ATATCTAAAAAAATAAATAAATAATAAATAAAAATCCACATTATAACAAAAAATATTTGTATATATATATATACATACATATAGGATTTGCATATGCAAATATATATATATATTAGGTTGGTGCAAAAATAATGACGTAACAATGTCGTTCTTTGACGTATTTTTTTAAAGCCAAAAAAACGACATTATTACGTCATTATTTTTTTGCAAATTAACCTAATATATATATATATATATATATATATATATATATATAGATAGATAGATGCAAAATGCTCATTTTTTCTTTTGATTAGAAATTACGACACTGGGCGATTTTTTTGTCGGCCAACTCGGATCTTTTTATTCTTTTAATTATTTTACATAAATTTTCTCCAGTGCCAATTTGTTTTAATATATTTTTATTTTGCAAATTGTACTATACTCCTTTTTTTTTACAATAGTCGAGTATAGACCTTAACATAATATATATACCTTCATGCATATATATATATATATATATATATATATATATATATATATATATATATTTATATGATTTTTTTTCTTTAAACATTACTTTCAGCGGAGACATATATTTGCTTAAACTTTCGGTTTATTAAACATATTTTTTTTATTTTTTTCGCCTATTTTGATGGACAAAAATAAAATATACTGTTTATTACGTTTACAGGAGCGTTTACTCAAATATGGTTATCCACTGAAACTAACGTTTACTGTATTAAAAATGTTATATTATTAAATAAAAAATGATTTTACTTATATATATATATATATATATATATATATATATATGTGTGTGTGCGTGTGTGTGTGTGTGTGTGTGTATGCAGGTATTAATCTGTTGGTACAATACCAGAGAATTCTGTTAACACAATATGAAATTTCAAACGTTAAATATTAAATGTTAAAAGTGACTCACCAAAAAGAGCTCAATATTTCTTTTCTAAACTGAGCAAAATATTTAATACAAGTGGAATTAAGACTCAATAGTTAATTCGTTTGATTAACTACTGGTGTCTTAATTCCCATATATATATATATATATATATATATATATATATATATATATATATATATATATATATATATATATATATATATACATGCGCGCTTTGTGTGTGTGCGTATGTGTATTAAATAAAATATATAATAAGGCTATATCTGTCACAATACACAATATAATGTGACTAAAATTAAAAGCAAAACTTATCTCAGCCGATGCGTGTTGGTGTTTGATGGCCCTTATAAAGTCAAATGCGTGTTTTTTTATTTGTAAAATATATGTATAGACAAAAGTCAAAATATTGTTAGATTTTTTTAATATAAGTGTCGCTCATAAATATTCATCAGGTAAATTGAAAAGTTTAAGTAAATTATGGATGACGTTAAGTGACATAATTTAATGTCTAATAATCAAAAGTGAGTAAATGACATTTTTTCAGAAAACGAAACGTCCCGGATAAGATAGGCTTTCCTTTTATTTTATTCACGCACACACACAGACACACACACAACTACACTGATACGCACGTTTATATATATATATATAAGTTAAGTTACGAATAACCTGGTGAACCGAATGGGGTAATTTTTCATTTCGTTGTTGGAATTGTTACCTGATGATCTGGAGTCCTTTAAAAAGGATTTTGGTGAAATAAATTATTGTAATGGTACCTTAAAGTGGTCTGTTTTCTTATTAAATAATTATATATATATATATATATATATATATATATATATATATATATGTAAAGGTTATAGTTATTACGAGAAAAAAATGTATATATTAAAAAAGAGAGAAACCGCAAACGTTTTTGTTTATAACACAGAAAGAGTGTGCATGTGTTTGTGTGTATGGGGCATGCATGTATATGTTAATGTGTATATACATATACATATATGCGTATGTTGATTCCATATTATAAGACAGTATGTATATATGGAGAGAGAATATACATATACAGGCTAACAGGAACACTCATGCACGCACGCACGCACACTGGGTTAGGAAGACATCTCTCATCAACACATCTATCACTACCACCTCTCATACCAAAGCTAATAGTTTTATTAACACTTGGGCAGAAAATCGCTTTTGCCAACAGTCTAGAAAGGAGTTCAAGGCTCAATAACATATACAGAAAACGAACGATGCGACATTAAATGGACATAAGTAAAATTATTCCTTTTAAAAAAAAAATTTGCTTTTACTTGCCTGAAGAAGATCACAAGACAGGAAACTCGTGTAGCAGACATATGAAGAATAAAATTATATATATATATATATATATATATATATATATATATATATATATAAAAAACAAATCCACATTATAACCAAAAAAACTTTTTTTATGGTTTCTCTTTTTTAAAATATATATATATATATATATATATATATATATATATATGTGTGTGTGTGTGTGTGTGTGTGTGTGTGTGTGTGTGTGTTTTTGTGTGAATATTCTGCCGAGGAGACAAAATGTATAAAATGATG